CCTCAGCTCTTCAGCTCAAGGCGAGCGCTCTACCACTTGAGCTACAGCACCACTTCCGGTTTTCTGGTGGTTTACTGGAGATAGGAGTCTCACGGTCTCTCCTGCCCCGGCTGGCTTTGAACTGCGATCCTCAGATCTCAGCCTCCTGAGTAGCTAGGATTACAGGCGTGAGCCACCAGCGCCCAGCTTACCACCAGACTTTGTGAGGAATAGAACAAAATTTGAAAAGCAATGAAAAGCACAGAATTTGAACAAAGGGTCAGGTATGATCCTTGGGAATGAAGAGTTGGATTTCAATATCAGGTTCTTCTTAGTGATTTTTAAGGCAGCTACAAATGAGGTTTTGAGCATCTAAACTAATGTTTTCAATCCTAGTACATTTAAATGTGTTTACTATCTTCCTGGATGGTGCTTAAGAGGTGATTCCCAGATGGTTAGTTATGAAGCACAGAGAAATCCCTTCCCTTGCTATAGGGCACAGATGTAAGGTTTATAGATTTAAACCAGGAACTAGAATCATGAGATATGAGCTTTTTGGAGAAAAGAGCATGCTTAATGAGAATGATAGTAAGGGCACTTGCCCTTGCAATCTGGCAGCTTCACACATGTTTCATCTTTTCTATCAACACATCCTGTAAGACACTTTTCAGTAGTAACATTCTGTTTTATGAAGCCTGAGGAGAAAGTATAGATAAATAATGGAATGATCAGAGCAGGGAAGCCAGTAATCAATTTTCAGTGTCTTCACACTATTGGAATAAACTGAGTCACCAAAATTGTATATAGCTGCACTAATGGCTGACTCTTGTAATCTTAGCCACTCAGGAGGCTGAGATGTGAGGACTGCAATTCAAAGTGGGTCCATGCAGGAAACTCTGTGAGTCTTTTTTTTTGTGTGTGTGTACATGGAGTATCTTTATTTTTTCTTTTTATTGTAAAAATACCATACAGAGGGGTTACAATTACATGGGCAAGGTAATCAGTACATTTGAGTCCTTATCTTGGGGCTCATTTCTCCTAACATCAACTTATCTCACCGTTTCTGCTTGTCTGTGGAAGTCTTATCACCAATAAACCACCAAAAAGCCAGAAGTCAAGCTGTGGCTCAACTGGTAGAGTGCCAGTCTTTTTTTTTTTGGTTGTTGGGCTTGAACTCTGGGCATGGATGCTGTCTCTAAGCATTTCAGCTCAAGGTGAGTACTCTACTCCTTGAGCCACAGCGCCACTTCTGGTTTTCTGACTGGTTTATTGGGAATTAGAGTCTCATGCCCTTTCATGCCTGGGCTGGATTTGAACCGTGATCCTCAGATCTCAGCCTCCTGAGTAGCTAGGATTACAGGAGTGAGCCACTGGCACCCGGCTTGAGTTCCAGTCTTGGGTGAAAAAGCTCAAGGATGTTGCCTGGGCTCTGAGTTCAAGCCTCAGGTCTGGCACAAAAAAAATCACAAAAACAAAGTAAAATCTTCTTTCACACACTCTGACCACGCTAATTTGTATAAAATCCCATCCTCTAAAACTTCTTAAACTACTTTCTAGAAACAGGTCAGTAGAGTAGAATATTTACCATTTTATGAAGTAAACACACTTTTCTCATATTATGGGGATCCATAAATCATTGTTTGACCTACAATGTTAGACACCAGCTCTTTAATGTATTGTGAGCAACTAAGAAACCTATCAGGCAAAGCACCCCAAGTTTTATAGCTTGATTAAATA